TCCGAGAGCCAAAGAAAAATAATACATGTTATTTACATGTTTCTCCCTTTTTCACGGGAACAAAGCAGCTGAGCTGATGCTCGCTCACCTGTTTCAGAATAGCCTGTGAACCTTTTTCTAACTTCGTCCTTCTATGCAGCTTCTATTCATAAACACTAGCAGTGCACCATAATCAGGCTGTGAAATGGTTAAACAGGGAAAAAGGAGCAGGCCAGAGAAAGCTTAGTTTCCTCCTTGGGAAAAATCAAAGTTGTTCTGTCTGTAGTTACCTTGCACATCGCTCTTCATACCTGGATTTAAAATCAATAGTATTTGCATACTGACATATCAGGCCCATTGTGCACTGTAACAAGAAAAAGGTGGTGGAGCTGGCAGCTTCTCATTAACATTCTTAAACTTCTCTCTGATCTGAGTCTTTCAACTAGTAGATCACGACTGAACTGTAAGCTCTCATTTCACATCTGCCTACTAAGTGAAGCAGTGCTTACTGTTTTCCTCTCTCCACTAGTGTCTGACACAGATACTTCTTGGCGTTGCGGTGATCAGGACAGTTCTCCAGAGCTCGTTCAAAATCTGTTATTGCCTTCATGATGCTGCCTTTGTTAGCATACCTGTGTACAAAGTGAAAGAAGCACAAAAAAGACGATAAGATTGATCTCATTTTCAGGACTATGCCAGGTTTCGGTAACAAGTGTCATGTGTGTTTACCAGGTACTAAGCCAAAAACAACTTTTCATTCCAAAGAGCTACGACAATAGTACAGGACCATGTGTGGTGTCTTAATTACTGTTCCTCATTCCATTCTGGTATGGGAAATGGTATGAGGAAACTTACCAAAGTCGTTTAAAATGTCTTGATGCATCCAATAAATAAACTATTGTAAACACTGTATATATTTCTTGTAATTTAAACCAGTTAGGTGTTAACAGGGTCATGAAAGACGAGGGAATATCTCAAACTAGAGCAGGGCGATATGGCCAAAAATATTTATCATGATATATATTTGAAAATTTGCGATTAACGATATAACTGACGATATAATTGATGCGAGACAAAATACA